GTTACTGAAGAGTCACTTTTTAGCTTGACTCTTCACTGCAGTGTGTTACATTCATATTTGAAACGCTGGCTTGGGAAGCACCAGCACAACCTCAAGGATTTGCCAGAAGGGCCATATGCGAACAGGTTTGATCTCCCTCATTCTGAGCTCGAGCAGACCGGATCCAAGCCTGGTTCGATCTGGAAGCCTTGTAGGCATGTTGTGCAGGACTAAAGTGAACCTCATAAACCCTATTGCACGCAGACAGATCAAGTCTTCCAGAACACTTGTTCCTTGAGCGCTTTCATCTGGGCTTGCTGGATTTAAATTAACCTAAAAAGTCTTTCAAGCAGCATGCTTTGTGTGTATGTGGGTCATTCAAATTTTGTGTCTCTATACAACTGACTGGAGGAGTGTTTCAAGTCTGAGGACCAGAGCAAATTCTCACAAAACAGAGCAGCTTCAGCTGTCGTCATCTTTCAGTTAAATGTGAATTGATGTGGCGATCGCCCACAATGGGGTGCTTCACCTAGTGGCCTCCATTGTATTGCTTTAATAGGGCAGTGAGTATTGCTGGGGGAAAAGGGGAACAAAAGATACCTTAGTACAGATCTTGCCTTGCTCTTCCTAGTCTGTTGGGCTTTGCTACTGCTGCTTTAGGAGAGTTTGCTACTTTCCCTGTTGCATGCAACCAGCAGTGATCCACACAACAACTGCCCCCAGTTATCTGGGTGCATTCAGCATGAGCTGCTTAAGAAGGACCTTCAGCGGGATATCAGAAAGGGTGCTAGAGAGGGCTTATGCTACTGGCCAGACATATTCCTTTCCCTGGGGTCTGTGACTATTCAAACTGTGCTCAGGGTGAGGGCTTTTTCCAAACATCAGAGTTGGGACTATTTCCTAGGACAAATTAAAGGCCTCTCTTAATCAACTACCACTTTGTGAATTCAGCTGGGAATGAGACTTGATAGCCTCACACTTAAAAAAGATGTCCTTCTCTTCTATGATGGTCCTGTGCAGAGAGAAAGAACATTTTGCTTAAGTTCCCAAAATACTAAGGTGGTTTGGACACTGGGCTTTACTGCGAGTGGATGTGACTCCTACTCGTAATTGTTTCCTTCCACTTGCATCTCTTCATCAGGGGGCTGCAGTGAGACCCAAATTGGGGGATTAAGAAGTATATACTGTAGATTATGAGTGATGGATTTCATTAGAGTACGTGTTGCAAGAGAATTGAATTGAGAGCTCGCCTTTGGAGGAATCTTGCTGGACAAACCTGCATTGTATGAAACATTTATCTCGTACCTTCTGGCCGTGTCTGTATGATTTTGAGTGAATAATGCAGCTTCACAACCTAGTTCCCATCCCTTTCCTCCCTGTCTTTCATCCCAAGTCATGGAGTATTTTCTGCAGCATGAAACAGCTTCACAAGAAGAGATGGTCCTACACATGAGAACTTTGTGGCTAACAAACCCTTCAGGAGTATGAGAGAGATGTGACAGAGGAGAAAATTGAACCTGGGTTTTCCAAAGCCTGGCAGACGTTCTTACTGCTAGGCTACCGAGTAAAAGGGGTGGCCGAGGGGGAGTGAGGGCAAGCCAATAAAGAATCAACAGGGTTTTAGCTTGCTGGCTTCCTGCAGCACGGTAGGAAACCAGGCAGAGAACTGAACCCGAATTCAATTCCCAGTGTGTTCAAAGGCATGGCGATCTATGTGTGACCTTGTGCAAATGATTACTGGTGTATCTATCATTAAATTTCTGATAGCAGGTAGCTGACAGTTAGAGATAGAATCCTTGCCTTTTTTTACTCTAAAGCTGAAGCTGATGGGAACAACATCCCTCAGTTTTGACCATTTGTTGTATGTATATTTCTTCTGACTGTAATGCCTCGTAAATGTCACTCATTCTGTAAATGGTCTTAACTGCTGATTTCATTTAATGTGGATTTTATAGATCTATGTTAATTTGTGGGTAACAAGCATCTAGTTACAACTCTGTGCTTTATTTAAAAAGACAGTTACAAATGAATCTCTACTTGTTAAGGTCATTGATGTTAGCAGTTAATGTGCAACATTTACTAAAATGTTGTACATAGTTACTTAGCTAGTTAGACCAGATATATTTACTTACTGTATAATAATAAATACCTTAATAACAAAACTAATTTTCTTCCAAACCTTCTTGCATTCATCTATTTGACCTGGCCAGTGGATATTTTGCTGTTAATTGCAGCAGTAAACCATCTACAAGTAGTGGTAAAGCAATGTAGGCAAACTCTTTGGACTTTTTCATGGGACTGAGATTCCAATTGAGGTATTGAGCCAGCAGAATTCCCCTTTGAAGCCCACAGAAAAGGCAGCTAGCTGCCTGGTACAAAGCAGTGGAAAGGCCTTTGTAGCTCTGCTACCACCAGAGTTAGCTGATTAGTGATGATAAACATGCTGAGGGGCAAATTCTGACTTTGCTTTTGTTTTGAGTTTTTCTTGCAGTTTGACCAAGCCAGAAGTTTGTGGAATAAATTTTATAGATGTTGCTTAGCAGGAACAAGCAGTTTTTTCTACCAATGCTACTTATTTTTTTAAGAAGTTAGTGCTTTGACCAGCTTTGTCTATCACCCAGTTCTGAGCCTTGCTTTATCTTCTGATGCTCAATCCAAGTAGGCTTGTTTGGCAGGTTAGGGGAAAAGAGGGAGGAAGACCAATAGCATATATTATCATATACCTGTATGCATGTATCACCTTTGTAGCGTTTGAACAGTTGGAGCAAGTTGTCTTTGGCAGACTCAAATAGTACCTGGTGGCTCTTGGCTCTGAGGTTTTCCAAAGCTCCAGGAATTCTCCTACAGGGCAATCCATGACCTTAGCGCAGATCTATGGCGCTGGCAGCATTTGGGGGGGCGGGGGGGATAGGGGGGTGGAAAGGAAGGTGGGGAAATCAGTGTTTTTGAATTTGCTTGTTTCTGGAAAGGGCCTTTTTATTTCCTTTGAGGTGATGCTGCAGAAAATGCTGCAACCAGTCCTTCAGACATTCATGCAGACTGGAAAATCCCTGAGACCCCCCCCATCTAAAACTTAACCATTAACATATTTCAAATACTTCAGAGTGCCTTTGAACTCCTCTATGGAATATTGCATCTCCCAACAGCAAACTACAAATGTCCCCATATATGTTATGAATTTTGCTTGGAGAAGTGTGAAATAAAGGTGATATTGAGGGTATTTTTAAAGCAAGAAAAACTTTGTAAGGAATTTATCATAACTGTTCACACTTAGGAGTGAAGGAAGGGCACTGGGAGTGCTCAGCAGTGAGATTAGGTTAGACAGTTTTTCCCTCCTAATATTTTTCTTTTCAGTGACAGCCTTCAAACTTTCACTAGACAAGGTATGTGACCTTGAAGTTAAATGTCAGGTTTCCTAGCCATAGGACCAGCCTAATGAGAAAATTGTTACTCAAATAAAACCTTCCTTCGCGTCGCTGTCCTTGCTGTTTCTTCCATGTGTGTGATCTGAAGGTTTCTACCAGCACAACTAACATTCTGCCTTCGAGTGCTCTGTGTTTGCAGTATCTTGAGGAGATTGCCAGCATGAAAGCTGCAAGACATGTTGCCTAGTGGACCGAACCCTTGAAGGGAGTGGTATTTATATAATGTCAATTGAATAAATTAACCTCTGCAGTGCTGTGGAGGCTACAGGATAAGAGAGAGTTTCTGTTCAGCTGAACTTAAATCTTACTGATGTTCTTACACTCTCCTGTAAACTTGTCAGAGGGTTATTTGTGTATGACAGAACTAACTTTCTAAATACTTGTAAAAGTAACTTTGAAGAGGAAGGTTTTGATTAACTTTCTTTTACATAGGAGCATTTTCAGTTTTGAAACCATTCCGGTAATGTCTGAACATACTTCAATGCCAATTAACCATACGCTAATAGTTTTGCCAGTGGAAAGAAGGTTGTAAGTGCTGTAAAATATGTAATTGAAGATGATTCACACTGCAGTATTGCCTCACACTAAGGAAGCTAAATCTCATCCTGCTATAAACGTTATGAATAGTACCTCGCTGGTGTTTATGTCAAGCATGTTTGTGTAGTTACTCCAACCCTTGGAAAAAAAAAAAACCAAACACATGAATTCCCCTAAGAATTTACACTGCATGAGGTTTTGATTTTTATTTCCCTCTACTTCCATTGACTCTTCTTTCCTAAGCCAGTAATGGCTCCAAAAGGTAGGAAGATACTCTGTATGTCTTCTTTTATTGGGGAAGGGAGAAAGATATAGAGGAGAGGATGATTTTGTATTAAATCTCCTGCTGGGTTCTCTCGTATTTTCTGTGGCATCTTGATCCTAGCTTCTAGTTTGCCTCTACCTGAAAAGAAAAACTAGAAACACAACAATTATTTCATGTGTATTTGGGAAAATGTAGAATCATCTTTATCAAGGAAACTCTTTGGAAACAGATGTAAATTGTGGATATATATCTGTATCCAGCATATCTGTCTGATGCAAATGCAATCCCTAAAAACCAAGAGTGAAGTGCTGGAATCTGCTAAGCAAAATTCCAGATCACTGTGGATGATGCTTTTCATTACTAAAGACTGTATTGGTGTGCAGCACTCTAAAGTCACCTGTTGAAGGCTTAATAAAATTTATTACTATCATTGTCCTGGTGTCTAATAACAAGTGAACTTCCCTGCAATAGGTGTGTGAATTGTCCTCTGTCCTCCACTGTCCTAGATTTCATGAAACTTTTAAAAACCTAACTATCCTTGAAAATTTGTTTTTTCCTATGATGTTTAGGTGAAATTAGCCAGTATTTTCAGAGGGCTAATGGGAGGCTGAGAAAAGCAGGCAGATGAGCACAGTGCTTGATAAAAATTGTAGAAAACAAGATCAAAATTTTGCTTCAACTTCTGTTAATGCGACCAGGGTATGGTGGTTTGGCAGTGCTATAAGAAATTATGTGTTGAACTGTAAAGTACATAAACCTGGTATTTTAGAGTTAATCTCTTGTACCTTTTGCAGGTGGAGATTCACATTTTACCTTTATATATTTACCTATGGAGTACGGTTCCTGAAAAAGGTAGGCACTTAAATTATTATGCTTTTATAACACATCACAGATTTGTCTGAAGTCTCGTATAGGTATACTATAAAGCACAGGCATAAAAGAAGAATAGAAATAAAAATTAAAATTTAATTTACATTCATAAAATGAGTTGCTGCTGGCATTGGTAAGGAATGTAAGTTCTTACCAATATTAAATGGGGTAAAAAAAATAAATTGGTATAGCAACGTGCCTAGTTCACTTCATTACTTTTCATTATAGGCATTAAGCTGGCAGTAAGGCTTACCAAAGTATTCATCTCATTTTCTGCATCATCCTTGTTTAAATGCCTCTGGCAGAGGTTGCTTTTTATTAAGAAAATCCATTAGTGATTTATAAAATGCTATTTTTACCCGTTCTTTGTCTGATGTACTGCAGAAAGAAGTTTCCATGGAGTTACCCATCAATGCTGTGTTTCTGCTGATTTAAGCAGTGAAGGGTATTGATAGCTTCTAAACACACTGGCATAGGTCTATTAACCCTGCCATAGGCAGTAATATGGATTTATAGTGCAAATTGTTTTTACAGTGTGGCTAGTTCTCAGAGCTTTTGTGCCAGTCAGGCCATGTTTGTGCAATTTTGAGAGGTGGAATTAGGGGAATGTGTGGTCTCAGTGCATTCATGTAATCTTATCTTCTTCATTTTGGACAAAAATTTGACAGAAGAAAATGGATCTTAAATGTTTCTGGTGCTTTGTAAGTAAAAGTAGCTGTTAAAAAAAAAAAAAATTCTTATCATTTTTATGGTTGTAATTCTTGAGGCTGTCCCAGGTGCCAGTCAGCTTGGTGCCAGCAGGACTGATGATGTGCCCATGAGGAGAGGAGACATCAGAGCTCTTTCTTAGCTGTTTAGCAATAGTCAGCCCCAGAGGAAGTGTGGTGCCAGGCCTCCAAATGGACCAGAGCAGCACATAATATGCAACCTCTCCCTGCCTCCTTGGACAGGTGTACTTCATCCATTAACATGCTCTGTGGTCATGATCTGATATTCTGTTTTCTGCCTTTGATTCCATGAATGTCTGTGGTATGAAATACAAGAATAGTTTTAATAAGAAATGGTCACAACCTAAAAGGTTACTCAGCCTGCAGGTGTGTAGAGTGGGTTCATATGATTCTGAAATACACAAGGACACAGAGGCTTTATCCTCTGAACTTCTCTACTTTACTACCGATTACCACAAATACCACAAACCCCACCATTAGCAAGTATCCCAAAATCATTACTAGAAAGCATACCTATGATTAATAAAGCGAAACTCTCTCAGCACAAATAAAGTGTCTGTTCTAGGAAAAACTCTGAATACAGCATTTCTAAAGAGTAAGAAGAATACAGTAAATGCATGCTTCATTACAAGCCATTGTCAGCTGTTTCTAAAGACTGAGTTGATATGCAAAGTGTTCAGCATATCACTGCAGTTTGAGGAGGGCTGGATGGCATAGCATGGTTGTTTGAACAAGGTACACCATTGCTTACTTAACAAGCCTAACAAGGATTGGTTGTATAATTTTGCTGTAATTTTAACTTTCAACATGTTTAATTTTTACAAAGAGAACTCGTTCATTATGTAATTGTGTATGTATCTTTAATTACTCATTTTTACACAGTGTTGTAAATGAGTCTTGTAAAATTTTATGCTATAGTCATTATTCCAGTGTTCTGCTTCATATACTCAGGTCTTTCACATGGGAATGTAAGTAAATTAATAAAATTATGATTGTGATTGTATTTATATTTGCACCATCTCCCTAGTAACATTGTGTAACTAAAAGAAAGTACAGGCTTTTTGCTGTTCATCAAACACTAGAGATTTTGCTGGGTCCACTTAGGGGGGAAAGCTGGGTTTGCAAGGAATAAAATTGAGACCCCGAAATCTGGAGGGAGACACTTCTTTCAGAGCTTCGCTACAGTACCAAAGTGGATAATCCTTTTTAATTTGTCTTGGTTTTCTTAATGGAATAATTGCAAAGAAATACTTAATTGCTTCTTTAGGAAGCTAGTGAAAAAAGTTAAACATAATGAATTCTCCTACAAATTTGATAGAAAGATCTTTCCTTCCTTCAAAAAGCTGTTTTGCCTGGAGAGAAGGTTCATTTCATAGTCAGTGGTGTCTTGCTGTGCTAATGCTACTGTAGAGATCTGCATAATTTCAAATAACAAAGTCTGCTTAAGACCATCCCTGAGATACCTAGTCTGGAAGACTGATAAGCATGGTGAGTAAGCCCAGGTGCAACAGCAGTCCTGATGGGTACAGTTCCATCACAGCAACACATGCTGCCTTACTGGGAGAGGGTGAGAAAGAGTAAGTACTACAGACGTTCTTGTTTTGAAGAACAGAATATGCGTAGCATCACATTGGAAATAATTCATTTTGACTTTTAAAACGTAAGCTAATGCTTAGTTAATACATAGCTTTGAATAGCTGGATAAGACATTTTGATACAGTATGTCTTTCAAACATCCAAATGTAATAAGAATATATTTTTAAAAGGGAAACTGCATTTTGGTGCTTTTCAAATTAACAGAATCATTCAAGGTTGGTTGGTTTGTCCATTTCTGGATAGTTAAGATCCCTGCTTTAAGAAAGCTGGTTTTGCCATCTTCAGTAGGAAGTGCTTCTTATTAGTTGGTCTTATGACTTTTACTTTGATGAGGTACTCCCTTTAGAAAAGTGAACCAACTCAGTACAAAAGGCTCTCCCTAAAACACTGTGCCCAATGCATTATCTCTTTTATAGTTTCATTCTTGGCTCTTGAATTGCCAGGCAACAAAATATTCTGACTTCTATATTATTGTCCTTCCCTCCCAACTTGACCTAGTCTCCCTGCCGCTTCTTTGCTTTGCTGCATATGTTGCTGACCTGATGGGGTTTTTTGTTTGCATTTGGATCTCTTAAATGTTCCTTCCTTAATTTGAGAGTGAAATTCATCTTTACGTAGAAGACTGGCATGGAGCCCATCAATTACTTAAGCACCACTTTGAGCTAGTTTTGAGGACCTTTGCTTTGTGCTGGCCCTTTGCCTAGAGGTGAATTTCACCTTTTGGATTCTTTCTGAAAACACCTTTCTTGTAATGCCCAGAGTACATGAATCATTGCTACTTTGTCTTCTACTGTCACCTTCCCTATTTGCTGCATAAAGCAATATTACTGCATCATGCCGTATCAGCGGAAGGGTGGATGTCTGTGTTTCCTTGTGCACACCAAACCACCCGAGGAAGTTCTAACCAGGATACTCTGGCAAACCACCATTCTTGCGAAGAATGTCATTAGGTCATTTGTGGCTTTGTAGAGCTGACAAGCTTATCTGGCTTTTTGGGAAGATGTGCCCAAGCTTAATAAGCAGTAATTGGTTAGCAGACTTATCAACTCTGTTTGTTTTAGTTCTGAAGGTGTGATGCTGTCAGTGTGGCACGCATGCCGATGTTAATTTAATTTTAGAATAGTATTAACTCACTGCATTAAAGTTTTACATTTGCCTGGCTAGAGCATCTCACAAGGAGAGAGGCCTGGGGTTTCAGCTTTGATTTTCACTTCCCTACAGAAGCACATGAAAGCTAATAAAGCTGTTATTTGGAGCAATGGTAGCTCTCTCAAATGCCATGGCAAGCTTGTCTTTGTTACTGTCCATGGCTGCAGTTAATGACTGATTTAGATAAAGGAAATGTCTGCACCCAGTAAAGCAACCTGTAGGTCTTTGTGCTAACAACTGCACATGATATTATATATCAATTCTTCTGCCATGCTATAATTGCTGAGTATGTTGCTGGAGATTTGAAAACTGCCTTCTCACTGAAAGCTGTCTCTCTTATCTAACTGTTCTCTTGGATTTTGTCCTTTTCCAGTGACAGATTTATGCTGTTAAGTCATAAATGGAGTAAAAATATCTCAGTTTTGTTGAACAGTATTTTCAAAAAATCTCAGTTCACAGGGAAAAAATGCCCGACACAAAGCTTTGTCTTCAAAGTTTGCTCTGTTGCCACAGAACCTATCAACCTCATATGTTTTAAAGTTTTTGCCTTAGTGGTGTCTCCAGGACATTTAGATTGGGCTATTTTGCTGAATAAAGTTCACTCTGAACTCAGGAAAATCCTTTAGGTTGGGAAGGCAGAAGATTGGCAGTAGGGTGTCCTGCATGTGGCTGTTTGATGATACCAGGGCCTACAACATCAGGCGCTGATATTGTATGTGATGGTTTTTAGCAATGTAAAATGCACAAAGACTCATGCTTCCATCCTCTCTCCCTCCCTCCCTCCATATGGACATCTGGTGTCCACAGCTTCTGGATCATACAACAGCTGCTTCACAGCACTGTCCCCTGCCTCCTGCCAGCTCCACCACTGAACTCTGAAAGCAGGAGATCTTTATGGGAGTTTGCACTGGTCTTGTCCTCAGTGCCTCCTAACTCAAATGGGCACCTGTTGTCAACTTTGCCTTTGTTGCGGTAACACATCACTCATGAAGTGACATTGTATGAATGAACTTTTTATAACATGCACTGTTGATGGCATACACCATATCCAGCTGCTTTGATTATGTCCCTTTTTTTGGGCCTAAAGAAACAGTAAAAGTGCAGCTTCTACCATTGGTGTCTGTCTTCCTCAGTCAGGAGGTGGTTTTAACTGCAGCGTGCAGCTGTGTAATTCATACATCTTATAATTGTTTGCAATATCAAGGAAATGTGTGCCTCTTTCAAGAATTACAGTGAAGTGAGAGAATTAAGTCTTCAGTAAGACAGTAGAGAAAACAAGGCAGTTACTTTCTTACTCACAAATGGACCACATGTAGAAGGCTCACAGCCTCCCAGATACTCAGCCAAACCATTGCATCACCTACAAACTGTGTCTTAATATGTATGCATGAGAAACCAACAGACTTCAGTAAAATTTCTACTGTAGATTTATTAGTATTTAATTATCATATTAGACATTCCTCCCTTCCCCAGCTCCTGTGTGCCTTCAGCCTTCCCCGCCCTCCCCTT